GGCACAGAAATGGTATCAAGAAACCAAGATCACAACGATACGAGTCTCTTAAGGGGGTGAGTGCACTGACTCTCATAGACATTTATTTGTTACTTTTCAGCTCTGGCTTGAATACTTAAGCTGGCTCTCATCTTACTGGATTCCACAGCCCACCGTATCTCTTCCCCCACCTCCTTTTACCAGTTTACCAGAATACCGGGCTGTCATGGACTATAACAAAGGTTTCTCATGTTTCCCCAGCCCAGCTTTAATCTTCTGGTCAGGACCTGCTTCCTGAAGGCAGTTTGTACCAGCATCTCTTGTTGCTTAGCTAGAACACTTTAAAAATAGAGGTAGCTCTAGAGCTCTGTTTTCAGTTTGCTCGGCTCCACGGTCAACACTCTTGGCACCAGCAGCCAGGAAATCCAAAAACGTATCACGATGGGAAAGTCGGCTGTTAGGAACCTCTCTAAAGTACTCAAGAGCAACGGTGTCTCTCTGGAGACTTAGGTCTGCCTGATAGAGGCCATGGTCTTTGCAATCACTTGTTATGCATCAGAGAGTTGGACAATGACTAGGGAGGACAGAAGGAGAATTGATGCCTTTGAGCTGTGGTGCTGGAGAAAAGTATTGAGAATACCATGGACTGCTAGGAAAACAAACAGATTTGTCCTGGAAAGGGTTAAATCGGGTGGCTCCTTGGGGGCAAGGATTCTGAGGCTCCGTCTAACATACTTTGGACATGTTGCCAGGAGGGATGGGTCCTTGGAGAGGGACAGCGCAGGAGGGGAAGGCCCTCTATGAGGTGGATTGATTCAGTGACTGGGACAATCCGGATGGGAGTGTCAGAGACAGTGCGATTGGCACAGGACAGAGCAGAGTTTAGGGCTGTTGTACATAGGGTCGCTATGAGTTGCAAGCGACTCGATGGCACATAACAACAACTAGAGCTCTGGTGGCCTAGTGGCAAGAAGCTGCCCTGCAATCTTGAAGGCGCTGGGTTCGAATACCCCAGATGCTCCACTGGAGAAGGAGGGGAAATCTGTGCCAGTCTGATCTAATTCACCTGCACACAACAAGTGAAAATAAATAAATTGTAAAAAAAAGGCAAATTTATTTATTTAGTAGAGGTACCTCTGTCTGACCCAGGTCAGTGCTTAGAGGCAGATTGTTGTAAGGATTTACTGAGGCAGGTTAGGGGCCTTGTGAGAACTGGGCCGGTCCCCACCCTTGTCCTCTGCACTTTTGTTTTCTGTCTGGAGGGAACAATTAAACTTAGGTTCAGTTTACCCTTTTTGTCTTAGTCCTCTGTTGGGAATCAGGTAGGAAATTGGAGTCTGACAGCCATTAATTTGGGTTTTTTGTGGTCTTTATGTAACACATTGTTCTTTTGTTGTTATGTGCTGTCGAGTCGCTTGCGACTCTCATAGTTGACCCTATGTACAACAGCCCTAAACTCTGCTCTGTCCTGTGCCAATCGCACTGTCTCTGACACTCCCATTCCGATTGTCCCAGTCACTGAATCCACCTCAGAGAGGGCCTTCCCCTCCTGCGCTGTGCCTGTATCAGACGCACCTTAATCTCCAGAGAGACCATTGCTCTTCAGTACTTTGGAGAGGTCACTAACAGCAGACTTTCCCATGACAATGCGCCTTTTAATTTCCTGGCTGCTGGTGCCAAGACTGTTGAGTGTGGAGCCAAATTACATACCACATTAGGCTGAAATTTTGAGAGGTAGTCTTTAAACTTGATATTCTCTTGGGCTCCCCTGGAGTAAGGCAGCACACATTGCACTGAACATCTGCTGGTCCCTTTTCTTTTTCCAGGTAGACCCCAAATTCCTGAGGAACATGCGCTTTGCCAAGAAGCACAACAAGAAGGGCCTGAAGAAGATGCAGGCCAACAATGCCAAGGCCATGGAGATACGTGCTGAGGCTGTGAAGGCTCTTGTCAAGCCCAAAGAGGTCAAGCCCAGGATCCCAAGAGGAGTCAACCGCAAGCTCAGCCGACTTGCCTACATCGCCCATCCTAGGCTTGGGAAGCGTGCTCGGGCCCGCATTGCCAAGGGGCTCAGGCCTAACCGGCCAAAAGCCAAGGCTGACAGTAAGGCCGAAGCTCCAGCTAAGTCCTCAACTCAGGCTCCTGCTCCAAGCCAGGCTCCTGCAAAGGCTCTATAATTGAGTTCTCCATCTGAGGACAGAAGGACTGGTGTGACCCCCTGGGCTGTTGCCATCTACATGGGCCTGGTGTCCTCCTGTGTTATTTGTACAAATAAATCCTTAAGGCAGGAGCTATTGTCTGTTAAGTTTCTCTGGGGCTGAGGGTCAGGAGTGTGTGTGTAAGAGGATTATAAATCCTCCTCTGGGGGGTGGGGAGCAGAAGCACAGAACTTGTTGCTTACTATAGGGAGAAATCCCAAATGTCCTTATTAAAGGCCCTCCTTCTTAAGTGGAAGGGTCCTACTAAAGATTTTACTTTGGCCTGGGGTGGTCCTAGGGTACCTGGCCAGGGTTCACTGTTGGGGATCCTAAAGGGAGAGTGACTTAGAAGCATAGATGAGCTAGTTAGGAGGTACCTCATGGAAATACTACAGCTGAAGACACCTGTGTATCTCCTGGACCTGCTGCTTCATTGCAGAGTCTGCCCTCAGACAAGCAAGTGATGTAATCATGCACGTAGCAGTACTGCTAGCTGTACTTCAGCCTCACAGGCAGCCTTTGCATATGGTGGTCATGTGGTTTATAATCTGAACATGGTGCTGAGACAACAGGCGATTTCTCAAACAGGCCCCTTTCTGAAGTTCCTACTATTCGTTTTACAAATTAAATACCTTCAGGATCATAGATCTTGTAAAGGATGGAGGTAGTTCAACAACGAGCCCTAATATATTTGCCCAACCAGGGCTCTCTGCAGTTCTGTCTCTTGACTGAACCTTGTACCTTCTAAGGGGAACCAGCTGACCTCCCCAAGCTGTGCTAGATGATGGGGAGTCTTGACTTTGTACTCTAGGTCACTCTTGAGCAGCCAGGCCTTAAAACGGAGCATAAAGGCTCTTCCTCTAACCTCTAGTCCTTTCCTGAGGGGAAAATGATCCCTCCAGGGAGCTTCCCAAGCGGCTAGAAAGGCTTCAATTGGGCTATTCTAAGGCCATGACCCTCTCTTACAGAGCGTGCCTAGAGCAGAGGGAGGGGCCCAAGGCCTGACAGGTTAAGGTGTCCATACCATCACTTCCAAGTGGTGTAACGGTGGGCAAGTTTCTACTGTAGTCGAACTGTTTGTAAATGAGTTTAAAAAAAATGTGTACCATCAAATCAGTACACTTTTTGACAACGACAAAGAGCTACGTTGGCCTATTGGAAAGGAAGTTATGCTACCAAGCCGAAGGTGGGTGATTTTCATATGCAGCCCTCGGCCAGGTTCAAATGGTTTTCCTGTCAAATGTTCTTCTAGGTGGTATAGCACTGGTCTGTGCGTTGCGGTACAGAGGTGGTTGCTGTGACAGTGATGTGCCAATCGTAATGGGTACCCATGGTGGACAGTGTTGGCTGGAGCTTCCCAGCTAAGCCTGGAAGCAGGAGCGGCATCCACTTCCAAAATGGCTTGCCTCCAGAAACTGTATGAACAGTGCTCAGGCCGTTCGTTCATAGGGTCACTATGAGTCCTCTACGCAGCACCAAACAACCACCATCAAATTGGATCTGAGCGGTACAGGAGGAGATTGCCCCTCCTTCTCCAGCAGAGCATCTGTGGATTTGATCCACACACCTCTGGGATTGCAGTGTGTAAACGAGTTTTTTGGTTTTTTGTGTGTGTGTGTGTGTGTGAGTGTACCAGCAAATCAGATCTGACTGGTACAGGAGGAGATTGTCCCTCCTTCCCCGGCAGAGCATCTGGTGGATTCGAACCATGCGCCTCTGGGATTGTAGTTGCAGGTCCTTGCCACTAGGCCACCAGAGCTCCCCTATAAACGAGCTTTTAAAACCACTCACATTACATGGAGAGTTCAAGGAAGTTGGAACTCATTAAAAGGTGGGGCTCAGTAACCCTGTGAAGGGTAGACAAAAACCTTGCCTATCATGCTCAATCCTAATCTCTTCCATAACCCATTATATTGAGGATGGAGGGAACCTTCCTTTTCTTTCATTGATCCTTTATCCCAGCATGGACTGGCCCAAAGTATGGGAAGTAAAGTTTCATCATCCTTGTTTCCCCCCGCCCCCCATCCTTGTCTCTCAAGGAACACCTTGGTTGTACTCCCTCAAAGATTTGTTCTCTTGGCAGTCCATGGTTTATTTGTTTCCCTGTCAAAACAGCAATTTGAAGGCATCAAATTGCTCTTCAATCTTAAGAATGGGTAGGGATTACCATTAGTATTAGGCCATCAGGGCACATTTGCAGGCTCTCACCAAAACAAGGAACTTAACAAGCTGTCCCCTGCAGGCCCTCCCTGCGCTGTGCTCATAAAGGTCAGAACCTGATTGCAGCAGACCAGCTACGGGCATAAACTCGGTTCCCAGGTCACAGCTGAGTGAGACTGAATAAGACCAGCTGGATGAAGTCCATCTCCTGGGCCTTTCTGCACACTGACCCATGACATCTACCTGATCCAGGCATTAGGGACCCTGATGAACTAACCTGGCCTAACAAGGTCCGTGTTCTCTCTGACTCTGCTCCCAACTTCAGACCTTGGGGTCACACCTTCGTGTCAGCCAGTGAGTTTGACAAATGCTGTCATGCCTTGCTATCTGTCCACTCGGACATCTAGTTCTGGTCCTTTGGTCTCAGAATGCCAAGAGTGCCCCTAAATACCAAGAGAGGCTTCTCAAGTCCTGGGTACCCCTTCACAGGACAGATTTACGATGGCCAATGAGAACAAGGAAGATGGGGCCCTGTGCCTCGGGGAACGTGACATGTTCCCAAATGGAAGTGCACAGAATTGATGGCAGAGCACAGAACTGGACTCAGCATTCTTATCTGTGAAATGGGGTGGTAAACATCTCCCCTGAGAATGAGTATCTTCATTGTTAGTACCTCAGAGGCAGCTCCTGTTTCCACACTGACTTTATTGTTGGGGGAGGGAACAGTGGCTCCTTGGCACTGGTCAGAGGTGGGGAGCGTGCAGCTCAGCTGTCGCTGGGCAGGGCAGGCACGCTGGCCAGGGCAGACAGCAGTCGGGTATATATGTCAATCCCGCGGAGGAACACGGCCTCATGTAGTCGTTCATCATGGTCGTGCAGCAGCACCGGTGTGTGGTTCATGGGTGAGAAGCCCAGGGCTGGGACTCCCACCTGCGGGGGCAAGGAAGAGCCATTAGCAGGACGGCTGACACCCAGGCTCACCCCACCGTGCACCCCACCTTCATGCAAGGAGCTTACGGCGCGGATATAGCGGCTGTCAGTGGCAGCGGGAAAGATCTCAGGCTCCAGAGTGAGGTTCCTGCAGGGGAGAGGGCCTGGTGAATAGGGAGGAGGGGCGTGGAGGGGAGGCAAGAAGTGAAGAGACAGAGGAAGGTGGGGCGGGGCAGGGAGAGGACAGAGATGCAGGAGCTGGCTGTGTGAGGAGGGCACGGGGCACTCACATGTCCTTGCAGACCCCACTAAATGCTGCCCACCAGGGGTCTGAGTTGTCAGTACGGGTAATTCGGGGTTTGGTCCACTTCTGCAGGGAGGGGATGAATGGTGGGATCACGACTGGCAGGGATTTCCTGCCGGCTCCTTGCAGGGTGGACTATCCCAATACAGGGCTCACTCACTCGTGCCCACAGCCATCCAGCCACAGGCTCCCTTTCAGTCCCTTAAAGACTCCAGGCCTAGGATATTCCATGTCCTCCAATGCACTTATTTTCTGTCCATCCTTCAGGTCCTGGCCCAATAGTCTTTTCCCCAGAATGGTTTTCCCTGTCCTTTCAAACTCTTCAGAATGCAGGTCCCACCTCTTCCTGGGCCACGTGTGTTCACTGAATCATTACTTACATAAGTGTATGATTTGTGTCTGTCTTCCTACTTGAGACTGTAAAGATCATGAGGGAAGCTCACATTTTCATCCCCACAGTGCTCTCCAGCGCCCATTGGTGGCTTCCACAACTGGTAAGGGTTGCTGGATAAAACGGGTCTCTCATAGCTAAAGGAAGGCTATTCCTTGGAGAAGGACATCATGCTTGGAAAGGTAGAGGGACAGCGAAGAAGAGGAAGACCCTCAACCGGGTGAACGGACACAGGGACTGCAGCAATGGGCTCCAGTGTGTCAGAGATTGTGAGGATGGCACAGGAAAGGACAGGGCTCAGAGCTGCTGTTCACAGGGTCGCTATGAGTCAACAACACCTAACAACAATATAGCTAAGGAAGAGCAGACACGCTACACATACGTCCCCACAGTATCATATACTGTCTCAGCTCCCAGAAGCCCCCATTCCATGTCCTGTGTCAATACCTGAGCAAACTCGAAGGTGACCCCCTCGCCAGCCGCCTGGCACCAGCTCTGCAGCTGCTCCTCGAAAGCCTAAGAGAAGGGGGATGAGCTGACCCTATGAGGGCTCCCTGAGTCCCTAGGATGGGACCGAGCATTGGAGGTCCCTCCTCCAGACCCAAGTGGGGACAGCACCTTCAAGTCCACGTCAGGTGCCACACGGAAGTCAAAGCTGGCACTCATGGTGGCAGGTACGACGTTATAGGCCACGCCGCCCTCCAGCTTAGTCAGGTTCACTGAGGTCACAGCTCCCAGCTTCAGGTGGGGATTGGTCTGCAGCCTGTGGTGGGCAGGAGGGAGGGGGGAGTAGAAGTGACAGACGGTGGCTCGACACCCACCTCCCAGCATGCATGCCCCCTAGGGGGCTCTTCTAGGCAGCCTCACCTCTGTCTCTCCTTCTCCCGGAAGGCCAGGATCGAGCTCACAACTTTGTGCTGGGAGAGTGTGAGAAGATAATGAGAATGGCCAGGGACAGAGCCTCTAAAACCTCCAAACTCCCTCCTTCCGTGCACCATGTGCCACCCACCAGCTTCTCCGCTGCCGTGTCCTCGATGAAGCGTGAGCCGTGGCCAGGCTTTCCGGTGCTTGTGACCCGCACCCCTGGGAAGACATAAGGGGGTGTCTTCACATGGAAGGGGCTGGAAGTGCAGAGCAAGCCTAGGGTGAGCCCATGCCTCCCCTGCTAGGACCTTCATCTCCTGCAGAATCCACAGCCCACACAGGCTGGTCCCTCAGGGAAGCTCTGGGTCAAGGAAACAGGAAGGAGAAGTCCAGACAGGAAGGGGCTGGGAGACAGAGGTTCTAAGTTCAAAGTTGATTCAGTCTCCAACTTGCTGTGTGACCCCCTTGACAGGCGCTTGCCCTCTCTGGCCTAATCTCCCATCTGCGCAGTGACCACCTCCCCCCACCTCCCCCGATGTCCATACTCACACCAAGGGCTCCGCTCACTGTAGAAAACAGTGAAGGCGCTGGTGGGGTTGGCCAGGCCTGGGAGGAAAGGGGAGTCAGCTGATGGAGAGGCCTGGTCCTCACTAGCAACTTCCCGTCCTCCTCCCCGGGCACTCAGCAGCCTGCCTGCCCGCTTACCCTCATCCAAGGCAAAGCCAGCCTTCAGGGCCTGGAACTCAGGTCGCTGCACAAAAAGTTCCATGCCTCGGTGACCCCCGACCTCCTCATCTGTAAGGGTGGCAGGGTCTTGAGATTAGCGGACTACCTTCCTTCTCCTGGCAGGTGCCCCTACCTGTGCCATTCCTACCTGGCACAAAGGTCATATGAATAGTTCTGGGGAAATGGTGACCCTCAGCCTTCAGCCTCCTCACAGCCTCCAGGTACCTGAGGGGACAGGAAAAGGGACACACAGCTGGAAGAGTTAGGGCAGCCAAGAGATGACTCTGGGGAGTCCCAATCCCTCTTTGGGCCTCAGTTTCTCCATTCATGCAACAGTAACTCGTTTATAGTTAAGGGTCAAGATATTCCTCGGCCTTGGGGTTGTCCAATTACACTCATGGCCTTGAGTCAGTCCATTCCATCGAGCTGGCAGGGACAGATACTGTGAGAGACCGGGGACATAGGATACTCACTGGATACTGACACACTTCATGTCCTGGGCGCCTCTGGCATAGATGTAGCCCTCAGCATCCTTGAAGGCTTCGAAGGGGTCATGACTCCAGTGCTCCTGGGTGCAGAGATAGCAAGAGAGGGATAGCAAGCCCCATAGTTAGTCATTAATCCACTCTGGCCAACTGTGGCCCTGTCCTAAGAACCCACAGCCTGGTTGGCGTGGCAGCTAAGAGAGTTGTGATAGACAGATGAAGGCTGAAGAGGGCAGCTGATTGCCAGCCCCCATCTCTGCCTCTTCTACCTCAACCCTGGGCAATGAGCCCTTGCTGGGCACAGGGTCTGGGGTGGAGTATGGGAGAGTCAGCATCAGAACCACTTTGGGAATTCCCCAAGTTATAAGATCTGTTCCTATATCTTTAAGTGAAAAGTGCAAGTTGGAACAGAGGAATATAGATCTTATTTAAACTTTACTTTCATTTACAAAAAAAAAGGGAGGGAGAGGATGTGAATTCTTTCTATGATTTAGAAGCTGCTTGTCTAGCAAGGAAAGGGAATAGTGATTAAGAAATGTATTGGGTCAAATGGTTAGTTCAATCGTGCCAAAGTAGGAGCAAATTTATATAACATCAAAGGGCAAGGATGTACTGTCCACCAAAGTGGGATTATGGATACTTGAGAGGCAGGAGTTATTACAACACTTTTCCTATGGTCCCCTGAGCTCAAACGGCCAACTTTGTGCCCAGGGCCTGCATACCTCCCTCACCCATACACATGCGTGTGCACACACACCCCCTACCTTGAAGACAGGAACCACATCCGTGTGGGAGTTGAGCAAGAGGGAGGAGAGCTTGGGGTTGGTGCCTGGCCAGGTCAACACTGTCACCACACGGCCAGGTGCCACCTGGAGATGTGAGGAAGGGGAGTGATCAGTACAAGGTGACCAGGTAGAACAGTACTGCCTCTTCTCACTCCCCCAGGCTTACCTCCACTTTCTGACAGCCCAGGCCCAGCTGACAGGCTCTCTCCTCAAGGAAGGCCACAGCAGCCCCTGGGGACACAGAGAGTCTTAGAGAGGCTGGGGGTTGCTCCTGTCCACCTATAACCCACTGGCCTGGACACAGATGATGGAGGGGAGCTGACCCAGAGCTAGGCTACTGCCTCCCTAACACAACTTCATATGCTCCTGAAACATCTGGATTCCTGTTGCCTGGAAGACTTTTTCGCCTAATCAGTGATTCCTTAGGGATCTCTGGTGGCCTAGTGGCAAGAAGCTGCACTGCAATCCCAAAGGCAGGAGGTTCGAGGACACCAGCTGCTCTGTAGGAAAAAGATGGGCAATCTCCTCCTACATGATTAACTGCTTCTGAAAACCTGCTGGAGGGTCAGCTATGGGTTGGTTCTGACTCGACAGTACACAGCAACAACAGCGGTTCTATAGGAGCTCTGGTGGCCTAGCGGCAAGGAGCTGTGCTGCAATCCTAAAGGCATATGGTTTGAATCTACCAGCTGCTCACTGGGAGAAGGGCCATCTTCTTCTATGCAATTTACTGTCTCTGAAAACCCCCTAGGAGGGTCAGCTAAGGGTTGGTTCCAACTTGACAGCAAATAACAACAATATAAAGCAATCCTTTAGATTCCTTGGTGGTGAAAAGAGTACTAGGCTGCTAAGCTCAAGGTTGGCAGTTCAAGCACACCAGCAACACGGGAGAAGAAAGATACTGCTAAAAAAGACCTGGAGATCAACTTCCTAAAGTTACAGCTTTGAAAATCCGATGGGGCAGTTCTATTCTACTCATGTGGGTTCTCCACGAGATGGCATCAACTCAGTGGTGATGCACCTAGAGACATTTTTGTGGAAAAGTTGGGGCAGGTATTGTTATATTCCTTCAAGTTGGGGACATTTGTGTCTCAGAGAAATTCACTCAATGTGTCCGTTTCCGAAATCACATAGCAGTTTTGGATCCATACACAGAATTCCCAGCCACCCTGGCAGACTATGCTCTTTGTCCAGTCCTAGCAGACTTGGTGGGGGGGGAGGCCTCTTCTCCTTGTAGCTGCCTCAGCATCACACGTGGTATAAGGTGAAGTTGTTCCTTAACTAGCTACCAAGAGCAATTTCTGGAGCAGCAGGGCCTCTGAGAAAAGGTCCCCCACAGTTTTGAGAGATGGCCGTGGTTGGCTGACTTAGGGAATGGTTACAAAACTCTCACTACCATCCAGTCCGCTGCGACTCCCAGAGACCCTCATTGGATTTCTGAGGCTGTAAATCTTAACCAGAGGAGACTACCCATCTTTTTCTGCAGTTCAAATCTGCTAAGTGTTATGCCACTAGAACTCCTGGGGAATGAAAACAACCCAAAACCACCTCATTGCCAGAGAACGCTTAGAGAGACAGCTGGGACACAGCCTGTGGGGGTTCAGCTGGGTGACAGGGGTTACGGACTGGTTCCAAGGAGCCCCCAGCCCGCAGACCCTCATGGCAGGTGGAATGACATGCTCACCATAGTCAGGCTCAGGCTGGACAGTGCGGATGCGCAGGTACTGGCGGAAGAGTGTCACCGAAGGGTGCTCGTCCTCTGGGGTCTTGCTGGCCATGGTGCTTCGCAAGGAGAGCTGGGGGCAAAGCGAGCGGCTGAGGATGTTCTCCCTGCTGAGGCCCGGCCCACCTGTACCGCCCCCTCCCCAGGGCGAGCTTCCTCATGCACAGAATTGAGGAGAAGCCTGAAAAGAAGCTGTTCCAGAGCACTGATTCGGTTCCAGGTGCTACACTAGGCAATTTCAACACATTTCCGCACTTAAACCCCCAAAGAGGTCTATTAAATTCCTGTCTCTGCCCACTTTCCAGACGAGAAAGTTGAGGCTCAGAGACAACTAGGGATTAGCTAGGCTTCAGTCCAGGCATTTACTCTCCCGCCCTCTTCCAAACACTTCTACCAATTTCCAAGGAGCCCCCAGACCCTTTCCACCTCTCCCCACCTCGTCCTGTCCGGCGCTGGAGACCGCCTTCGCTCCGCAGCGCCCACCCTGGACTGTGACCGGGACTCAAAGTACTGCGCGGTCGCGGGCTCAGACCCGCCCCGGCCCGCCCACCACGTGGCTGGACCGGGGGCGTGGAGCAGGGGGACGGAGAGCCGGGGCCCCTTCTGGTCCCAGCGCGGGCACCCAGCTCCGACTCCGGGGTGCGGAGAGGGTCAGCGGCGGCTCGGATCCCGGACCGGCCGCTCGCACAGCCCCAGCGGGCAGCCCCGGCCTGCTCCCCGGTGCGTGGCCCGCCAGCCCCTGCCCTGCAGAGGGGCGGCGAGTCCGGGCTGGGCCCGCCCCCGCCCCTGGGCGGCTTCTCGCCTGGGGAACCGGGCCAGCGTAGGGCGGCGCCAACTCCCCGAAGCGGCGGAAGGGCCCTTTGGCGCCCTCTCGCTCTTAAGGTCCAGCGCTGCAGAGCCCTGTCCCGGCCAGCCTGTGACAGCTCTCCTCATGCCCACGGTCGTCTACTGCTCCTTCAGGGGCTGAGGTTACTGAATGACGTCTGTCCATCTCTTCAACACAGAGCTCCTGGAGGCAGGTCCACGTATCCGCAGCTGACGCCGGGACAGCGTGCCAGCAATGACGAACAGATGGATGCGAGCATGTGTGTGACAGTGTGTGTGGTCCTGTGAACGTGCTGCCGAGTGGACAACTACCGATCGGTGATGACCCGGTGATGACAGCGTGAGATGCTGGGTGGGTGTGTCGGTGCCTGTGTAGCAGGGGATGTCACTGTACGAACCCGAGATGGGGATACAGCATTAAAGAACACATCCACCATCCACCCGGCTCACTCTGGTTGACCCTGTCCCAGGCTTTCTGGCTCTTCAATAGCCCTACCAGAGGGGGAATGGGATAAACAGAAGCACAAGGGTCCCCTTGGTCACCCACCTGTAAGTCTGGCTGTCCTCTGGACCCCACCCTCTGCTGCAAGGACTGATCAGCTTGAGGAGGGGACTTCAACCTCTGAACTCAGAGGAGGCCGGCTACTGGGATCCAGGAGGGGTCACATCCCAACCCTCCTGACATTTTAAGTCAGGGCTAAACCACTCACACCTTGGGGTTGAGCACGCCAGCTTGGTGGTTTATTGATGATAATAACCTGTTAATTCTTAAGCCAAGTCTTTACCCTCACCTCTTCATACCCTGATAATAATAACCTGTTAATTCTTTTTTTTAAGGGTTTCAAATGTACTTTATTTCTTCAATAATGTCTTATTTTAATGAGTACATAGTGCTCTTCCTCGACATCAATTATAAGTTGATTTTGAAACAATTCAATATTATACTACTAGCTGATTTAATAACCTGTTAATTCTTAAGCCAAGTCCTTACCCGCTCCCCGCCCCTACATACCCTGCTCCCTTCAGCCAAAGGTCCTGCATTCCTAACTTGCTGTCCAGTCCCTGGATTGCCTAGTGGCCTGGCAGTATCAGTAAGCTCCATCTCAAACCCCAATCACAAATTTCATTCAATCTCAGAACCACCATCTGAACTAGGTGTTACCATAATGCCCATTTTACAGATGAGGAAACCAAGGCAGAGTGGTGAGGGTACACAGCGAACAAGTGGCCCATGATCTTAGTCTCCCAGGTAGCTAGAGCTCCCTTTACACTCCCCCCAGCCGTCCGGGACAGACTTGCCTCCTACCCCACCTGCAGTATTCCAAGAAACTGGATCTGTCTCCAGGCAAGACATACATGTTTGTTTGTTTTTTTATTGAGTCAGTGAGATATAACAAGAAGTCCTGACTGGGCCTGGCACTCTGTCCTCCAACCCCAGGGCATGCCACCAAGCTGGTCCAGCTCCTCTAAGCCCAGGCACTCAAAGCCTGCAGCCCACGCAGGCGCTGAGTGCTTCATCAAAGCAGGTGGTCAAGGAAGGAGAGGAGGGCAACGTGGAAATCTTGTGGCTTGTGGAGGTAACAAGCATGGCCCGCGGCACGCAGCTTCACCACAGAGTGATTGGGCAGATGGCGGAGCTGCTGCAGTGACTCCCGTGCCAGGACACGATCCAGCTCCCCGTACAGGATGAGGGTCGGGGTCTGCAAAGTGGGACAAGCAGCTGTGACAAGGGCACCCCACGGGGACCTGACTTCCAAGCCACCTCTTTGGAAAATATCTGTCTCTTTCATCCAAGATCAAGGATGAGGCCATGTCTCTCCAAAAGGGACCTGAGCCCAGCCCCTCCCCATTACCTAAGCTAAGGAACTGGGAACCAGTAGTTTTAGGGACCCTCTTCCCAGTACCTTCACCACCCAGAACTGCTCCTGAGTGTAGTTCCGGGTGGAGGTGGGTGCGATGGGCACGAATCCATGCAGCTGTTGGTGACTTCGCATCAGGAAGGGCAGAGAGTAGTGGCCGCTGAGTGAGGGGCTCACCAGGACAGCATTGTGCACCTTCAGGTCCCGCAGCACCCGCTGCAGCAGCTCGGCCCGCCCTGCCTCTGTCCTGGCCTCTTCTGAAGGGGCTGAGTTCCCAAAACCTGGGGGCAGCAGCAGGCAGCGGCTGAGCAGAGACCCAAACCTTGGTGCCCACCACAGTAAGACAGAGAGGTAGGGAAACAATGACATGGGAATTTCTCCCCTAAATGTCCTAGAAGCTGTCGTTCTTTTCCCCCCATGGATAAGTCTGCTAAAAAAACACATCTTTCATTCATCATATTGGCAAAACTAATGAGATAGATAATCCCCTGTGCTGGGGAAATGGGTACTTTAAAGGATGAGAGAAGTCGGCCCGGTCTTTTGAGAGGGTTAGGTAGTATTTGTCAAAATTTAAATGTTGTTGTTGTTGATGACTGCTATCAAGTTGAGTATGACTCACAGTGACCCTACGAACAAAAGGCCTGAAGCATTTCTATAACTATCGTTGGTTCACAGAGTTTCTAGAGGTATGTTATTTAGGAAATGGATGCCACTCCTGCTTCCAACAAAAGTTAAATATGACCTTGAAATATTATCCCATGTGTGTGAAATATATCAAACAGACAACAATGCACAGAGTAGAAAGTAGATTAGTGGCTACTGTGGGCTTAGGAGGAAGGGAGAACAAGATACTGATGCTTACTGGGTATGAAGCTTCTGCTTTGGGGGATGAACAGTCATAGGAATATATAATGGCAATGATCACACAGCACTGTGAGTAATGCCACTGGTTGCACATTTGAAATGTGATAAGATGGGGGAGGGGGTAGGCAGGGAGAAAAGTGCAACAATGAATGACTGGAAACCCTAAGTCTCTATACATTTTCCTTTAAAGTAATAAAAAAATGTAAAAAAGAGTGATAAGATATATCAATTTCCCAATAAATATTTAAGAATAATAGTTTTTTTTAATGGTATATCCTTTGAACCTACAGTTTTCCTTTGTAGTCACCCTAGAAAAGTTTCTTTTTCTCGAGACCCATCCTTCTCCTGTGTACAATCTTACAGTATTCTTTAATTGTTTTAGATTTATTTACTTGCATTCAATACACGCAGCTAAGGACTAGCTAACACCACTTGTCACTCTATCTCCTAGTTTGCTTCCTAGTTATTAGTGTAATTTCTTTTTTAATATTTTATTTTTGCTGCCAGAAATACACCCAACAGAATGAATATTTATCAATTCACCGAGTCCAGCAGGCCGAGCTCATCTGATCATACTCTTCCAGGTGTGAAACCATTCTCACCCTCCTCTTCTGAATTCATCCTCCTCCATTAACATGAGCTCACTGCCTCCTAAGCTGCCTATTAGCTTTTCAAGTTGTAGTTGTCAATTTGAGCTCACATCATTGTCGTTGTTGTTGTTGCTGTTGGTTTTTTAAATAGAGAGCTCTGGTAGCTCAATGGTAAGTAAGGAACTGTGCTGCCAATACAAAGGTATATGGTTCAAATCTGCTAGCTGCTCCACAGAAAAAAGATGAACAGTCTCCTCCCATGCGATCCATTAACTCTGAAAACCTGCTGGAGGATCAGCTATAGGTCTGTTCCTTCTCGATGGTACACACAACAACAACAATAACAAGTTTTTACCTCACCTAGAGAAATTCGTGCTCATGGACCCAACGAAACACATCCAAAGGTGCTTCTGCCAACTGAGCAATTAAACCAACAGAAAACAAACCGTAAGACAACCTTCCTATTCACCAGTTGAAGAAAGGCCAGAGAAATCCTGTCATCCCTCCTGCAGCACAAGCTGCAGAGTTTATGAGAGCAAGAGAGGCCTGCAGGGCCTGAAGGGATCCACAAGACACAGAGCAATGGAAGGAAACCAAGCTGCAGATGGTCCCGCTTAGCAGGACACTAATCACATTCCACGACACCCACTACAGTCCTGCATGTGAAAGGGCCCAGAAGAGGGTCCCCAAACTCCTTAGAGAGGTGAGAAGTTGAGAAATGTGGTGTGGGCCCCTAGGGGCTTTGAAGCTGCTATATTTCTTAAATGACTATTTTTTTAATGACAAGAATGTTAGCATGAATCATTTCTGCCTTTAAAAAAATGCTACAGTTATAAAGTTCATCACAAAAAGTACAGTGATATACACTGTGCAGTCTCCTGTAAAGTCAATCACATTTCTGGGATTGCAATGCAGCATCTTGCTCTGTGTATGTGTGTGTACCATCGAATCCAATTGGATCTGACTGGCACAGGAGGAGCATCTAGTGGATTCGAACCTCACGACTTTGGGATTGCAACGCCGCTTCTTGCCACTAGGCCACCAGAGCTCCCTTCAATCACACTTCTCATTGCTCTGTGAGAACGGAGCTTTCAAGATAGAAAATAAAAACACAGACCTTCTCAGGACTGTAGAAGTACAAGCAGCAGAAGATGATACAGATAAAGGTGATTCCCTAAAACTAAAATATTTCTGTGCATCAAAGGTCTTTATTAACAAAATGCAAAGGCAACCTATGGCTTGGGAAAATTGCTGAAATCCTTACATCTGATAAGGGTCTATTATCTAGAACATACAGATGTTTAATTCTTTAACAATAAATAAAACACCAAGTAACAAATTAAAAAAACCAAGCAAGGAATCTGAAGAGACATTTCATAAAAAAGGATATTCAAATGGCCCAAAACGCATACATTTATATTTAATGTCATTAGAACCCAAAACTCACTGCCCTTAAGTCGGTTCCAATTCTCAGTGACCCTCTAGCCAATTTTTGAGGCTACTAATCTTTTTTATTTTTCTTTTTAAGGACTTTAAAGTCAGAACCAATCCACAGCTGACCGTATGGTGGATTTTCAGAGGCAGTTAATTTGCATAAAGAGGACACTGCCCATCTTTCTCCCATGGAGCAGCTGGTGGATTTGAACTGTGTGCCTTCGGTATTGCAGAGCAGCTTCTTACCGCTGGGCCACCAGAACTCCCTGAAGTAGCCATTAAAACCGTAATGACATACCACTTCACCGCATTAGCAAAGGAGGGATCAGAAAACAGGTGTTGGTGAGGGTGTGAAGAAACTGGAAATCCTCGCTCATTGATGGCAAGGATTTAAGATGGCAGTAACTGGGGAAAAGGAAAAAAAAAAGTTTGGCAGCTCATCCAAGAATAGAACACAGACATCTCACACGGCCCAGCAATTCCAATCATAGGTAAAAAGTGAAAGCAGAACATAAACAGAAACTTGTACAGCAAGGTTCACCTGCCATCAAGTCAGAACCGACTCACAGCTGACCCTCCGGGGGTTTTCAGAGGCTATAAATTACCCATCTTTCTCCCAGGGAGTCGCTGGTGGATTTGAACACCGGAGTTCCAGTCAGCAGTTCAACTCCTCCACCAGGGTGCAAGTGTTCACCACGAGATGAGTAGACAGACAGACAATGCAGTACTGCTCTGCCATAAGGAGAAATGAAATTCTGATGCCTGCTACCACATCGGTGAACTCTGAAAACATTACGCTGAGTGAAATAAATCAGTTGCAACAGTTCAAGCAGTATGGGATCACGCAAACAAGAAACAAGCAAATAGGCGAGCTCTGGTGGCCTAGTGGTAAGAAGCTACACAATCCCAGAGGTGAGCGGTTCGAATCTACCAATTGATCTGCTGGTGAAGGAGGAACAATCTCTTCCTGTACAGTCAGATCCGATTTGATGGTACACACACACACACACAAAAAAAATTTTTTAACAAAAAAAGAAGAAATAAGCAAATATATCCAAACCAAAGATGGTTAGTGGTTACAGGGGAGGGATGAAGGGGGAACAGGGATTTCTTTTTAGAGGGCACCAGTTTATGTTAGTGGTGGTGGAATGATGTGCACAGGATATCAAGAATGGCTGCCTGATTAGGATAATGTAACTGTGGCCTTTGAGCTGTGGTGCTGGAGAAGAGTATTTGATATACCCTGATCTGCTAAGAGAACAAACGAGTTTGCCCTGGAGAGAGTAAAACCAGGCTGCTCCTTGGAGGCAAGGATTTTTAAAGCTCCATCTCTGGGCATGTTGCAAGGAGGGACCTGTCCTTGGAGAGGGACATTATGCTTGTGAGGGTGGAGAGACAGAGCAGGAGAGGAAGACCCTTGATGAGATGGATAGTCAGTGACTGGGGTAGTGGAGGTATGAGTGTCAGAGACAATAAAGTTAGTTTAGGATAGAGCAGGGTTCAGTGCTGTTGTACATAGGGTCGCTATGAGTTGCAGGAGACTTGACAGCATATACCGACAACAACCAATGTCATTGCAATGTCTGATGCATGCAAAACTTGCATCAGGAAATGCTCTGAAATATATTTTTTCACCACTAATTAAGATTAAAAAATGGAAACAAAAGCACAGACCTTTCCATGATGTCACCATATATTTTGACTTGCCTCTGTTTATTTGGGGGGCTCCTGAGGCTTAGTGGTTAAGAGCTGCCCTGCCAATTCGAAGGCATGTGGTTCAAATCCACCAGCTGCTATGCAGGGGAAAGATGGGCAGTCTCTTCCTGTGTGATTACAGACAGATAGGAATGTGGGTCCGGAGGGCCTGGGGGAGGCCACTTTCCTTCCTCAGCGGCTTCTCCTCTGAAAACCTGCTGGAGGGTCAGCTATGATTGGTTCTGAGTTGACGGCATGTAACAACTCCTTCTTCAGTCATTAGTCCAAATGCCACCCCCTCACATTTTAAGTTCTTTCCGCCTGTTCAGTTTCACCGTGTGAGAAGTGGGCCCTTAGTTCCTGCTGCACCCAGCCATCTTGGGCCCGAGGGGGAGGCTCTCACCTGGGAGGTCAAGGGCCACGGCCCGGTAGCCCTTCTGTGACAGCAGCTGCAGCGTACCCAGCCGTTCCCATGTGTGGGAGTTAAAGGCTTTTCCGTGGAGCAGTACCACCTCCACCCTGCGGACAGATGGGAATGTGGGTCTGGAGGGCCTGGGGGAGGCCACTTTCCTTTCTCAGAGGCTTCTCCTGCTATCCATGCAGGCGCCAGACCTTGCACCGCACCCTGGGGTCAGCACCCACCTGTGTGCCCGGTGCAGTGGACGCACCTCACGGTAAAAGATGGGGGAGTTGCCAGGTGTGAGACCAGCCACGACTGTGACATTGGGGTTTCCCCAAAGCCAGGAGGTCTGTTCAGGGGGACCCGGCAGCCCTAGGTACAGCAGCAGCATGAGCAATAGGCCCAGGCCCAGCAGGGCCACCCGGGACCGACTCATGAAAGTGTGCACCACCGTCTGGAGGAAAAGAGGAGAAAAGAGGCTAAGACCCCGACAAGGTCCCCTAGGCCTCAACCCAGAGCCCCATCCAGAAGCACCCAGCGGAGGCAGAGCTCCAACCAGTGGTGCTCCCCCCCCTTTTACTCTCAGGGGAAGGTTCTGGGTTCGCATTCCACACTGAGAAGTCCCCTGGAACACAGTGTGCTCACTGGCTGTCATCACTGTGCATGGAGTGCTTTCTACAGCGCGGCCCTATGCCCGGCCCTTCACACACAAAGGCTCAGATCTTCACAGGAATACTGGGTAATGCACATGATGATACCTCTTACAGAGGAGGGAACTAGGGAAAAAGAGGCAAACTCTCTTGCCACGGTGGAGACTAAAGGTCCAGGGTGAGATGGACAAACTGGAGCCTTGCTAGTGGACAGAGCAGCGAACTCTGCCAAAGAAGAGGCCACGTGCAAAGGGATGCCCACCTGAGGAGGGTTTGGGAGTGGTCCTTTTGATCACACTGTATACCATAATGTTAAAACCAAGAAATATTTTATTATAATCAGTGACAGTAATATGTAATACTTTTTCCTAAAAATTATTAGATGCAGGGTTCAGCGCTATTGTACCTAGGGTTGCTACGAGTCACAGGTAACTCAACAGCACATAACAATTTTTAAAGGACCTCGGTGGCACAGTCTGAAGAATGCTGGGCTGGGAATCAACATGCGAAGCATCTCCGGGAGTTCAAAACCATCAACCCCTCCTCAAAAGAAAGATAGTTTCCTCCAGTTTAGAGTCACAGCCTTGCAAACCTGATGGAGAGTCACCATGACTTAGAACCACTTGAAGGCAGGGAGTTTTCTGAGATCCTGGTTAAGTGGGATGAGGCTCATGGAAAATGTTGAGTGGAGGGAATTCGGAGACATGAGGGTGTGTGGGGCCAGGGAAAGACATGGTACGAAGAAAAATATAAAGAGCTGCAGCAAAGCAGGAGCAATGAGGTCCTTTTATCACCCCCGGCTTCCTGCCAAAGGACCTGCCTCAGAGTCCTCCAGTCCTGGGTTCTTTGCCAGTCCTGAGGGCAGAGCTCAAGACCCAGAACCCAGAAAGAGACAGGGAGCCCTGGCTTTGAGACCTGACTCCACTTCTTGGCCAGGTGTTATTTGTCAGTAAAATGAGAAGGATGATCTCATGGTTACTTCCCTAAGCCTCCTGTGAGATTCCAGTAAGACAATGGACTTGACCCCACAGCTGTCCCTGTCATCATTTCTTGTTTCTACTCCCTTGTTCCTGTATTCCAATACACACATGTTACTGGAGCACCAACCACAAGGACTGGGGACTGGAGAATCGTCATGTCAGGCCCTTCTTCACTGGGCCATATTTGAGGGGTGTTTCTCAGCGTCCCGTTCCAGGTTCCTGGCTCAAGTGTCATAGGGACAGTACTAGGCCCTCTAATGCACACACATGGCTGGGAGAAACTGGTCCTTGGGCGACTTCATGCTTGGAAGGGTGGAGGGACAGAATAGGAGAGGAAGACCAGAGGATATGGATTGACACAGAACCTGGAGTAATGGGAGTAGGTGTGTTGGAGTCAGTGAAACTGGCTCAGGATAGGGCAGAGTTCAGAGCTGTCGTACAGAGACTATGAGTCACAGCACACTCGATGGCACATAACAACAACAACAGTGCTGAAGGAGAACCTTGAACTGTAAGGAGAAGGATCCCACTCCACTTCCACTAAGAGCCTCAGACGCATATTTCCAATGTCGTTAATCCAAGTTCCCACCAGGCTGTGCAATCCTGCTGGGATTCTCCTGGCAAGCCACACTCAATGCCTACCCACTCTCTGGCTGTTGCCCTGGCAAGCAGGCTGCAGCAACACCAGACAAAGCCATGCTCCCCAAATCCTCCATCCATCAGTTGGCAGCTTGGTATGCACCACAGACAGATACATGGACAATCACACACTGGGGGTACCCACAAGCACACATAAAGTGTGCACCCACACGCTTTTCTCTTGCACAAGTCATTCCCTACATGCACATGCAGGCTCCATGCACACGTATTGACTGTATGTAACAGATTCCTTACACACACCCTCTTAGTTGCACCCTCCCCGCCATCACCACATACACAGTCAGATAACGGGAAAGCGGAGAAAAATGGACATTTAAAAAATCACGCACAGGTCCTCAGAAACACTTAAAGACACAGGCACACACGCAACTCTCAAGCTACACACGCATGAAGAGAAACACACCCATACACAGGCGGAGAGACTTTCAGAAACAGACAAGCTGGTGGATGGATACACATAAACACTTTGAAAAACACATGCACACAAGCTAGGCTGATGGGCAGACGGACACCCCATCCCCCAACACAGAAAGAGAGAAACCTCGCGCACCGACCCACGCGCACTCGCCCTGCCAGCGACGGCCCCTCCCGCGGGGCTCTATCCCTGGGCGCCCGGGGAAGAGGCGGGGCACCCCACCGGCCAGCCGATCTCGGGGACACTCACCGGGCCGACCGGGATGACTGGGCAGGACTTCCCGGAGCAGGCCCCGCCCCCGCGGAACCAGTATCCAAACAGCGCCTTAACCAAGGCGTAACCTCCGCCGTTTTTGACGGGTGCGCCTGGCAGGGCGCCCCGAGAGCGCGACCATAGAGGCGCGCCTGCGCAGGCGCCAGCCGCTGGCCCGCCTCCCCGCCGGGCCCAGCGTAGTTACCGGGGAACAGGAGGAGGAACAGCGGGCGGTGCACCAAAGTACACAGGCCTGTCCGGGTCCAGATTTTCCGGATAGTTCTGGGCCTGAAAGCAGCCTTTCCCCCACTAGAACCGCTTAAATCGCGCTCTTGTCATACTTCTTATCCAGAAGTCTCAGTTCTCTCGTCTGTGCAATGGGGTTAAGTACAAGAACCACTTTATACAGTTATTGCAAGGATTTAAAACCAAGTGAGCCTTGCTGCATGAATACCAGGCATTATTTTGAGTTATGCAGAAGTTCCATGTCTCGGCCCAAATCAATTCCCTGATGCGCGCGCACTCCTCTGGGTTCCTTCAAATCACCTATCTTGGTTATTTGGTGTGCGATCAAAGTCCAGTTTGCTTCCTACGTGGGAGAGAGGGGGGCTCTGCGTGGCACGTCCACTAGTCAGTATCCTGTGAGATGGGCAACTTCTCTCCCATTCCACAAGCCAGGAAACAGGCTTGAAGGTATTGGAAAAGCCATCAAGGCCACCTGGCTTGACAGTGGCGGAACCTCGCATTCAAACATGTTGATCTTGAACTTTGAGCCCAGTGAAACTCTGAACCTGGAGTGGTTCAAGCTGAGAAGATAGGGTAGGGTAAGAGCTGCGGAAACATGGCCAGAGTCACAGCAGGGTGGTCCCAAAGGAACCTTTTTTTTCTCAAGCTGTATCATGTGTATGTGGGGCGCATGCAGGCAGAGCTTTGGAGAAACTGAGACAGCAGTCAAAAGAAAGGTAATGCTGAGTGAACTAACTCAGTCCCACAAGGATAAATATGGTATAAAACCATTATTGCAGAATAAGTATAAGGATCCAAGAGGGGTGGGAGAAGATGGAAGCAGCGGGATGAGGATGTGCAGGGGGCAGGGGAGAATGAATCATGGGGTTGTACAATTTGATGTGGGCAGGGTGAGGGACATTGAAAGAATTTGTTCTTAAAAACAATGTATTAGAATTTTGTAAATAAACTAGTTGTTGTTGTTGATTACTGTCGAAGTCGACTCATAGTGACTCTATCAACAAAAGACCTAACGCCTTTCCATAGCTGTCATTGTTTCTCCAAGTTCATAGAGTTTCGAGAGGCATGTGGTTTAGGAAGTGGATGACACTCCCGCTTTCCAACCTGTTTTACAACTGGGAGCTCCACCAAACACTGTCCACAATGGGAAACCATTCTGGTATTTGATATCCCCATGGCACAAGGTTCAGCATCATAGCAAACCCAGGTTACCTCATATAGCACACTGGCAAAGAATGATGTGCAAAGTGGAAGAATATTCTTCCAGATATAACAGCACTAGTCTCATTTAACAGACAGAGTTTGTAGAGTTTCCAGAGGCACCTAGTTTAGGAAGTGGACCTGGTAAATAAACTAGTAGAAAATTAAAAAAAAAAAAAAAGTCAAGCTGCATCAACGGGACCCATGGCAATTAGTGGCCACCAGAGGGCGCGCCGGAAGGCGACCCCGCCCCAGTCCCAGCCCCTTCCCTGTTTCTCCACCCCGGGGCGCGATCCACCTCCCTCACTCGGCCGCTTCAGGTCTGCGTGCACCCACGCAGCTCCCCAGGTACTAACCCTGCATCTATATAGGTCTCTTCTTTCTCTTTCCAGTTAGCGCCCACCCCACCGACCCTAAATCTTACCCCTTTCGATCACGGCTGTCCAAATTCTTGAATCCTTGAATGTGTGTGCACGGAGGTCTGCAGGGGGCACACACAGAGCGGGCCATAACTGTGCCTGCGACCGCGTAGCGACCATGGGCTCCAGGGGACAGCGCGCTGAGCACTGTGTCCATTGCATGCTGGAACTCTAATGCCTTCCCGGGTTCACTTCTCTGGTCTGGAAAATGGGTTTTCATCCTAACTAGGGCTCCTTCTAGGCTTTGGTGCCAGCCTACACCAGCAACAGTGCCTTGGGAAGGATAAGATTGTCTAGCAACATAGCTACCTGGCGTTGATTATTTATAAAGTGCTACTTCAGTCCGTCTCTTTGAAAGCCTTTCTGGCTGACTCCACTTTTCCAAACCTGGTGTCTCTTCCCCTCCCCTCAACAACAGTAACAGGCACCTTGCAAGTGTTTTGCATGCATGGCCTCGTTTAATCCTATCAACCCCCTGTGAACTAAAAGTACTATTGTACTGTCTGATTCACAGAAATAAGAACAATGATTGCAATCGGAGCCACCTTTGTTAATTTTTGAAGTAAACTTTATTGTCCACATATTTTCAGATTAAGAAACTGAGAACCAACGCCACACAACTGAATGAAGGAGGCAGAAATAGCACCTACATCTGCTGACCCTAAAACTTAACAGTTCTGGGTGTCTCCTTGTTACTTCCTGCTGAGATTCACACCCTGTCCTCTCCACCTTGGCCCTGAATTTCTGCAGGCACTTTGGCAACACAGTGGAGTCAGGGATGGCCAGCGTGGAGCAGCGTGAAGGCAGCATCCAGGTGCAGGGCCAGAACCTCTTCTACCGAGAGGCACTTCCAGGCGGTGGGCAGGCTGCCCGATTCTCTGTGCTGCTGCTGCATGGCATTCGCTTCTCCTCAGAGACCTGGCAGAAACTGGGCACGCTGCATAAACTGGCCCAGGCCGGCTACCGCGCAGTCGCCATTGACCTACCAGGTAGGTCTCTGAGTGGGTTTCCAGACAGTGATTGAGGGATCTCATCTGGGATCATTGTGTGATGCCTGGAGCTACGGGACTGGTAAGACCCAGCCAGGCATAGTACATCCTGCAGGACCCTTTGAGCCTTTCCAAACTTGGTCTGGTGCTGTCAGGACACTGCCTGGCTGCTGCTTGCTGTGTGAATATGAGCAGTGTCTCAGTGTCTCTGAACTTCTGCTGCCTCAACTATGTTGTTATGTACCATTGAGTCAAAACTGACCCATAGCTGACCCTCCAGCAGGTTTTCAGAGGCAGTAAATTGCATGGGAGGAGATTGCCTAGCTTTCTTCCACGTAGAAGTTGATGGATTTGAACTGTATACCTTTGTGTTAGTGACACAATTCCTTACCATTAAGCCACCAAAGCTCCCTCATCTATAAATAAGTGGTAACTCGCTCACTCATTGCTGCTGAGTCAGAACTAACTCACAGCTGACTCTCCATTGGGTTTCTGGAGGTTGTGAATCGCATGGGGAGGAGCCGGCCCCTTTCTCCCTAGAAGCTATTGGTGGATTCAAACTGGCAGAGCGGATGTGCCGCCCTTGCATTAGCAGTGCAACTCCCCGTGGATCTAGTGAGAGTGGAATGAGGTAATCCACATTGTATGCGGTCAGTGCTTGATACATCCTAATCCTTGCTCAGCAAGTAGAAGTAAAATGTTTTGACAGAGCCCTAATCATAGGCTGTTGGAAGCCCTGGACATTGTGACTGAGTCTCACAGCATTGTGGGGGGCAGGACTGCAAAGCTTTAAACTCTGGGCACATAGAAACAGCCCCTGTGTTGATGGTCACAACCAGGAGACCCCAGGCCCTAGTATGGAAGGGGCAGCGTGGTTGACATATCCCTCAGCTGGCCAGAGTTACTGTGGCCCCGAGGGGCAATCCCAGCCCAGGCCTGATTGGGTCATACAGTGGGCTGGGCTGAACTTCGGGGTGAAGGTCCAGAGATAATCAACAAAGGCAGAGTCTGACTGGTTGGCAGGGGAGGTGTGTGAGTGCAAAGTCAGCTCCTCTGTCACCATCCTTAGGGCACCAGCCAGTCCAACTTCAGGTGCTTCTTGATCAGTTGACTCTTGGGGTGTTTTTTATTTCCACAATTTAAATGGCAGATACTTTTATTATCTCCCTTAAACAGAAGGAGATAAACCAAGGCAGAGAAATAGAAAGCCGATCTTATGGTCACAGAATGGAGAACTGAATTTAGGGCCACAGAGTAAACGGAGAACTGACCCAGCCCTGGTGGTGTAATGGTTTACATTGTGGGCTGCCAACCAAAAGGTTGGCCATTTGAATCCACCAGGGGCCCTGAGGGTAAAAGATGTTAAGCTTTACAACCTTGAGAAGCCAATGAACGGCCTCCAGGAGTTAGGATGGGCTACAGTGTGGTTTTCTTTCAGGCTTTAGAGCCAGATTCTCTCCACGACCCTGTCCTGGGGAGATGGGGTACTAATGTGGAGGACAATGCTTCACACATCTAAGATTTGCAGATTGAAGCTAGTATGGGAGTAACTCAAGCAGTTAGGTGTTGCATGATCTCGGCATGGAGGGACTGACCAGGGACCCTCTCATTTTCCCCACATCACTGACTTGTCTTGCCTACCCAAATTTCTGCAGGTCTGGGGCGCTCCAAGGAAGCAGAAGCCCCTGCTCCTACTGGGGAGCTTGCCCCTAGCAGCTTCCTGGCGGCAGTGGTGGATGCCTTGGCTTTGGGCCCCCCGGTTGTGGTCAGCCCATCATTGAGTGGCATGTACTCCCTGCCTTTCGTCACAGCCTCTGGCTCCCAGCTCCGAGGCTACGTGCCTGTGGCCCCCATCTGCACCGACAAAATCAAAGCTGCAGACTATGGCAGTGTGAAGGTACCCTCTGTGGAAGGCTGAGATGCACCTGCCAGGAGCAGAGAAGGGTCCATCCTGGGGAATTTTCCTGTTCTCTGGGCTGGGCAATGTGGGGAGAGGTGCTTCTGGAAAGAGCTGAACCACTAAAGTCCACTCCCTTTCGGTTCAGTTCGCAGCAAATTTCTGGTTCCTGGTCTTGTGCTAAGCTATGTGCTGGGGTCGCTACAAATCAATGTGCTTTGGGAAATGAAGCCACTTCCCCTACCCACTTGTTTATTCTTATTTGGGGTGACCCGGGAGAGTGTTAAAGAAGTGGGGAGGGCTGGTGTTGATGTAGTAGGTCCCTATTGACTCTGACATTTCTGTCCTTTCTCTCAGACCCCAGCTCTGATTGTATATGGAGACCAGGACCCCATGGGCCAGACCAGCTTTGAGAACTTGAAGCAGATTCCCAACCACCGGGTGCTGGTCATGGAGGGGGCCGGACACCCCTGTTACCTGGACAAGCCTGAAGAGTGGCACTCGGGGCTGCTGGACTTCCTGCAGGGGCTGGCATAAAGCCTAGCCTGCTCATGGGGGTGGGCGACCCATCTGCCTTGGGCTTTCTGTCTCTCCCTCTTCATGGGCTCTGGCTCAGGCCTATGCAACAGGTGTGTGAGTTCTGTCCGCTTGTCTTTCTGCCCATCTGGGTTCTTGCCTTTTGGGGTCTGTCTGCTTCTCTTTCTCTTGCAGTGACAAGCTGAGGAGGTGAAGCCCAGGGAAGAGTTCAGGAATCAAGAAACATAATCTGGTGGAGGGTAATCCATGAGACAAGTCTCTCCTCCTTCCCCTACTAGGACCAGTCTCCCTTTCCCAACAGCCTTTTCTGCTGTCTGAGGGGCCAGTCACCCTCACAGAGCCCAAACTGCACAAACATACATGCCCACAATCATGCTCTGACATTTAGAACCACCCACATTCCCAAATATGACCCTTCCCTTGGGAGCAGCCAGACAGTGCTGGACACACGTGTGCAGCCAGCATGCGGGCAAACTCACACCTGCACTCTGGGTCTCCACACAAGTACTAAGACAGGCACGCTTAACTCTCTGTGATCCTGCGCCCCCTCCACTGTTTGGGAGGGCAGGGAGCCCAGGCCAGCTCTGGCAGGAGACCCTCTACCAGCGTGGGGTGTGCTCAGCCCTGGACTCCACTCACAATACGACTGCATTAATCCAAGCCCAAAATTGCTCCCCCAAAGGACAGGGCTTTCCCCCCTAGATCTTCCTGCTTTCCCCTTTCGTTCTGAGTGCTTCCCCCTTTCCCTGGTTTTGCAGCCAGGCTTATTTCCTGCTCTGAGGCTTGAAGGGCGGGAGACTGAGGGGAGGTCGGTGAAATAAAGTGATGCAATTAGACCCCGCAGGCTCTAGCTGTCTCCAGAGCACCGCCCCTCCCCCCTGCCCCCTGGGACCGCCACGGTGGGCCCTTCCCCCACTCTGGCGGGACCAGATGGTCCCCCTGCCCTTTGTCCTCCAGGCCAGATGGAGGGGAAGGGAGATTGGATTCCCACCCCCACCCACACAAACCCAGGTGCCAAGAGACTCAACTGTGGGGGGAGGTGGAGGTCAGTGGGACCAGGCTGAGCCGATTATGCAGAGGGGGGCGGGAGGCTCACTACCGGGGTGGGGGTGAGAGTTCAGCTCCTCCTCGCTCCTCTTACCTTTCCCTAGTAGAGAATTTAACCCGTCCCCCACCTCCCTCGCGGCCCAGGTCCGAAAAGGAAATTTGGAGGTAGCTTTGGGGGAACCGTGGGGCAGCGTGCACAGGGTCGCATCGCTCTCAGTCCCCTCCTCCAGCCGGCCTGGTAACCTGTCCTGGGCCGATCCGGGTCGCGTTAACGTGGGTGGCAAAGGGGAGCAGGTCTGGGTGGGCAGGAACCCTGTGCGTCGGATGGCGCAGAAGCGGAGAGCCAGGCGGGGCTCAGGGTCGAAGCCCCGGCTCGGCGAGACCTGCGGCCGGAGCCGGGCGGCGCGGCCGGAGCTAGGATGGGGGGCTAAAGGGAGGTCGGCAGAGGCGCCGGGCGAATGGCCCAGGCCGGAAGGAGTGACCGGGGGGCAGTGGAGGGGCTGGGAACAGGCTGGGCGCCTGAGAAAGGGAGGCGCCTCAGGCCCGTCCCCCACCCCGGGGGCTCCGGGGTCCGCAGGGGCAGGGTCGCCCTGCCGGAAGCAGCGGCCGCTCGGGGCGCACCGCGGCGCGGG